CACTCTCACACACACACACACACACACACACACACACACAGAGAGGTCAGAGATCACAGATTATGCTGTGCACATACAGAAACTTGTTGTCGGCGCTGCCCCACGACTTTTAGTAATAAAATAGCCAAGATACTGGAAAAAACAATTGAACGAATGATACACAGATTGTGATCTTACTGCACTATATCATCTCTGTGTCTGATTTGAAGCGGGCAGAATGCTGGCGCTAACAAGCTGTAACTGACGAAAATAACCTCACTTTTACCCGTCCGGTCAAATATTGTGCTGCAATCATCATTAACAGCTTATGCCATTATTAATGGTAAAGGGCCATGGTATAAGCAGAATAATGCATGGCTAGCTTCACGTCAGTGGGTCTTGCGTCACAGTGCGGCTTTGATTTGAGGTGTGTGTGTGTGTGTGTGTGTGTGTGTGTGTGTGAATCAGGATGAGGCCAATAAGAACGGAGGGAAGTGGATCATCCGGCTGAGGAAGGGTCTGGCGTCTCGTTTCTGGGAGAACATCATCCTGGCCATGCTGGGTGAGCAGTTCATGGTGGGTGAGGAGATCTGCGGGGTCGTGGTGTCCATCCGCTTCCAGGTGCGGATCAGAAACCATTATCCTGTCACGAGTTACTGTGTGTGTGAGTCTGACACGAGTGTGTGTCCGCAGGAGGATATTCTGTCCATCTGGAATAAAACAGCCAGTGACCAGGTGACCACGTCACGGATACGGGACACGCTGCGGCGCTAAAATATGAATAAAAGTCTGCTGTTGTGTGCAGGATCTGTGCGGTCATCACTCGTGCGATACTCTCGGTATGGCTGATGTGGGAACTGTGTGTTCACCGGAGCGGAGCTGTGTACAAATATACCCCAGCGACTTAACACTGCTTTTGTGCTGCAGGAACACAGATGAGCTTTTCTGAAGGAGCAAATTTCTCTCAGCTGATGCTGTAAACTAAACCTGTTTCCACCACAGAATACAAAAAAAAACATCTCCCAATTTTGACTTTTTTTCTCACAAAAATTGACAATAAAATTAAAAAGTTAAATTTTTTCCAGAATTGCAAGAAAAAAGTCTCAATTGTGAGATAAAAGTCGCAATTACCTCTTGGTTATATATTAACCTCTTGCTGTAATATTAAAAGTTAAAACTATTAAAAACTACTAACTATTAAATTCAACTGCTATTATTTGAGCAGATCTGAAGTGTCTCTGATCCTTGTGTGCTTCTGGTTTTTCAGGGATAATTCCAGCTTCCGGAACACGAAGATCACTTTGTGAAAACCTGGAAATTGTGTGTGTGTGTGCGAGTGTGTGTGTGTGTGTGTGTGAGGACACTGTCCAGGATCGTTCCTTCAGTTTCATTCATTCTGGTTTATTCCTCAGTAACTCGTTACATCAGATTCAGTGTGTGTTTGAAATGAGAACATGATTAAAGACATTCTCTGCAGTTCAGTTCAATTCCTGTTTATTTGTATGTTTTTACAATACAGATCATTTCACAGCAGGGCCAGAAATTAACTTTTCCATTAAGGGGCAATTGATTTCCAGGGGCATTTTTTACATTCATGAGAGCATTTTTAATCACCACTTTAATAATTGTATCTGTTGCCAATAACAATTGATTGGTTCAAATTGTAACAAGTTTTACGTTTAAAAACAGGAGCTATGACTGCAGTGTTCTGACAAAAACCATTATTGTTGATTATTGCTCTTGATATAGTAATAATGAATATTAATGTCAATTAATAGAATGCTCAGGGGCGCCGCTGAGGGGGTGGGGGGGAGTTAGGACGATTCTAAGGGCCTATGCACTTTTGGGGCCCCCAGAGATCTGTTTTATTAGTAATAACAGTAGTAGTGGTAATGTAATAGAAGTTATAAATATATCTACCGAAGAGTTACAAATAAAACAAAACTACACATTCACACTCTGATTACACAGAGCAGCAGCAGGAGGTGCGGGAGGTTGTCATGGCAACCGGATACACTGCACACGTATTACGGCTGCGCTTCTATTCTGCCACACTAAACTTAGCAATACACAATAAACTTGTCTGTCAAAACGATGTCAAAGGAGGCTTTTATTAAGCAAATCAAGGAGGGAATTACTCATCCACTGTTTAAAATAATACTTGAGCTGGGTTTCCACAGGCAGGTGGAAATTGTCTACAGTGTGTGAAGGTTCATAATGTAGAACATGTTTATCATAGTATGCTGTATGTGCATAGGTAGCTAGCAAACACAGAATACAGCTGTTAAGCTAACAGTCACATTTAGCTGAGTAAGATCATATAGGGGTATCCTATTTATGATTTTAGGATTTTTTTGTTTGCCCAAGTGAAGCATTTCTGTTAATATAACTGATTAAGTATTCAAACTCATTCCATATCAGCAGAATAGTGTGGTACAGAAAGTCTATGTCCATAATTCAATCCAATATTCTTTCATAGGGCCCTAAATAGCTCGCGGCGCCCCTGCGAATGCATATAAACTCTTGCATTGTGTCTGGGTTTTGTGAAAACGGCTCGTTATATATTCTGGCTTTGGCTTCACAGACTAACATGTCGGTCCATGACTGTAGTCTAGTCTACCCAAAGTTGTGCAAAAACTCGTTCTAATCACTGAAGCTACGAAACGAATCTTTTATTTAAGATAAGTGTTGTGTATGCTGAGGGAATGCCATCAGTGAACACGTGGCACACTCAACAACAACTCATCTAAGCGTCTCTGATTGGCCATTGCATTCCTAATCTCAACGGAAACGCGTGTGATTGGCTAGCAGGCTCAACGCCTTTATCTTGAATTTGTGGGACGTTTTTGTTCATTTTGGTGGCATTTTTGCCCCAAGCCCCCGTTAATCCCCGACCCTGCTGAAAACTAGAGTCAAGACACTGTAAAACACTGCATTTACAGTTTCTCTAACAGAATCATGCTCTTGTTTGTGATTGGCTGACAGATGATTTAAGCTCTTTTATTAATACAGATCTTCAGCTTAATACAGTAGTTATTATTTCAGATGTTTCAAACAGTCTCAAACAGACACTGCAGCAAACATGGGACATTTTCTTAACAGAAAAACATGGGTTATTGCTTTGTTGCTCAAAGGGGCTAAAATCGAACCAGATAATAACAACGAATAAAGCTCTTCCCTCTGGACTCCTTCTGTTTTTATTCCTTTCATAAAGACTTTTGAACACATTTCAGCTTCTTTCTTTCTTTTGCATTTTTTATAGCGTTATTAGTCCAAAATATTGCCAGCTGATTTACAGCTTTTATCATCTTCAGCTCATTGGTTTTAGATGAAGTGTCTTTGCTTGTAATTTTTATTATTATTATTATTATTATTATTTTCTATGCCCTTATTTTGTTTTGTGCTGCGGCGGCGGTGTGATGACGTGTTTCCGCTTCGGTCACGGCGCGGTTTGAAGCGGGGAAGCGGCGCGAGACACTCGGACGGTAAACAAACTCTCACCAAACTCTATAAACTGCTGAGTTTCAGACTGTAGACGCGTGTGAAGATCTTAAACTCTCGCCAGTCCGCGAGATCAGCGCGTTTCTTCATCTGACAGAAGCGTCTCGATCTAATTAATCACAGAACACTTCATTCATGACGTTCACTCGGCGGCAGGTTTTATTTTAATACAATATTTCAGCATAAGAATGTCATTTTAGTGTCTGCTGCTGTTGCCGTGGAAACCGAGGGTTTATTTTAATTTTTTTTTGTGCCATAGTCAAATAACCGGATATAATCCACATCAAAACACATGTGACCCTGGAGCACAAAACCAGTCACAAGTGTCGATAAGTGAGATTTATGCATCATCTGAAGCTGAATAAATAAGCTTTCCATTGATGTATGGTTTGTTAGGACAGG